GATTGATTAAATTTGTAGGAAACAACAAATTGAATGTCAATCAATAAATGCGAGTAATATACACCTCTGAAAAATTCTATAATTTCGTACAATATGACGTCACATTAAAGTATATAACGAATAAATGATATTGGCTTTGTCATTTTGAACCAGTCATTTATAAGTAATTTAAGTTAATTTACCTTATTGTGATATTTTGTCTACTAAAATCACAAGACAATATGATCTTCTCTTAGAATGTACATTCGGTTTTCCTTGATTTGGGTAATGCTTATTTTGGTGTCTTTGTAAAGAATAATAATGATGACTTTGTGGCGGCTAAGAATGGATCTATCCAATGCTTGAGGGATGTTTTCTTGGTTGAAGCCGTGGCTGTGAAAGAAGCTTTGTTCTGGGCCAAAGAGAGAGGATATACTAAAGTGGCTATTTACTCTGATTGTCAGTTGGTTTGCAAGTGGTTTGATGGTATGACATGTGATCTTTCTTATGCTGGTTGTGTCTTAAGCGAGTGACGAACACTTCAACGACACTTTGAATCGGTGTCTATTCATTTTGTTCCGAGATCAGCGAATAAGTTTGCTCATGCATTAGCTAGAGCTACGTGTTCTCAACCTGGCCCTTTTGTGTTGGTTATCTTTGATTCCACATTGTATTGAACAGTTATTTTAATAAAGTCATTCATTTTCCTTTTAAAAAAAATGATATTAGATTAAAATAAAATTGTCCATTATTACCATTGGTGGTATTAATGCGAGTTAATGCACAATTATTTTTTTAAAAAAAGAGAGTAAGATTGTAATAAACACAACCGTTAATCACATTAATCACTTATAAGGTAACTAATTCTTAGGGCATAGGAGAAAGAGAGGGGAGAAAGGGAGAGAAAGAAGGAGATAGTTGTTAGAGGGGAGAAGACTTTAATCTCCGATCTTGAGAGAAAGTTCTCTCCGAAGAAAAATCGCCCGCAACACGTGCCAATCACGTGGCCTGTATCACTCACAAGATAAACTTTTCTTGACATTGACCATGTTTAGTAAATGACTGTTAGCTGTTAGCTGATTGAGTTAATTAGAGGGTATAACTAGTTGATAACATTAGCTGATTGTAAAAAGATGTGGTAAATTAGTTGTTAGCTGATAGCTGATTGGTATAATTTCATTTCTCAAAAAGCTAATTGAAAAAGTTGTTTTGAGCAGATTTTTAAATTTTAGTGGAGTTACAAAAAGCTAATTAACCAAACACTTATATTAATTTTTTTTAACCAAATCAAAAAGTTAATAGTGGTCAAATAGGCTAAAATTTGACTATATGTTAACTATTTTACCAAACTGGGTATCTATTCCAACTGATTAGCTAGAAAATCAAGAATGTTTAGCATTGTAGTTAATCATTCAAAACACCTCGCATTAATATGAGATTTGTCTTGTCAATAGGATCTCAGTATCTTTTGAGTAAAATTAACTCATTGGATTTGGAATGTATTATTATTATTATTGAATTTTGGATACATCAAAATTATTATTGATGGAATATCTACAACTACACTTCTTGATTTGGTTCCGAGTATTAATATTATTAGTGGTGTTATGATGAATTATTGATTATGGAGCTCTCTCTCTTTTTCCCCCCTTTAATTTTGGGCTGCATTATTAATGTATCTAGGTATTGACAAAAATTTATTATTGAAAATTTTAAATGGACAATATTATTTTCATTAATTTCTTTTAAAAAATGCATCATAGTGATTGACCGATACTAATGTTGATAGCATTTTTATATAATTATATATGCTACTTTTTGTTGTACTAAGTGTAGTATTAGTACTGATACCAATACTATTCGATACAATCAAGTATACATACATAGTAATGCCTAATGCCTAATAATATTAAGGAATAAGGTTCAAATTGGCCACTGAACGTAACCTGAAAATGCAATTAGGCCACTGAACGAAAAAAAAGTGCAATTAGGCCATTGAACACTCAAAAAATGTGCAATTAGGCCACTGAACTCTCCAAACGTATACAATTTTACCGGATAGCAGGTTACCTGCTTACGTGGCAGCTTAGTTGGCATTTTTAATAATTTTTAAATAATTTTTAATAATTAATTTTAATAATAAATTTTATAAAAAAAATTGGAAAAAATTAAATAAAAAATAAAATAAAGTCGTTTTTATTTTTAAAAAAATTTTTTAAATAAAAAGTTATTATTAAAATTTATTAAAAATTAATTAAAATTTATTAAAAATGCCAACACAGCTGCCACGTAAGCAGATAACCTGCTAAAATTGAGGGTAACCTGCTATCAGGTGAAATTGCACATTTTTTTAGTGTTCAGTGGCCTAATTGCACTTTTTTTTCGTTCAGTGGCCTAATTGCATTTTCAGGTTACGTTCAGTGGCCAATTTGAACCTTATTCCTAATATTAATATTGGTATTGATTTGTTTTATAGAAATATCCTTAAAATTTTCTTTGTTTGGATAATAAAGAAAACTCATAGTCACTATATATCCGATGACGTGTATTATATAGGTAAACTCTGCTCTTATATAATAACTCGCAAACTATACATATAAATCGCACTAGAAAGATCATGTGTGATAGACTCGATCAAAAGGATGATCGCGAGAATAAACTCGTGACTTTGTACGCAAATCATGTTGAATCCTTAAATTTTATATTATTTGATTAATTCTATTTTATTGGCTCGTGATTAAATGGATTAGACACAAAATTAATCAACATTAAAGATTATGAGGCTTTTTTATGACATGTCATTTGATATATAATATATAAATATATGATGAAAATATAATTGTTTTAAAATTAAATTATCCATGCCTTAAAAGTCAAAATTTTGACTCCGTCGACACGGCCGACCATGCTCGGCCAAAGGATTTGACGTTCTGCCACCTGGCAATATCACCGGCATAATAGGAAGATTTTTGGCCGGCAATTGTTGTTGCGCGGTTGCGGTGAAATTATTACGTACTTGATAATTTTGTATTATTATTATTATTTTTTTTTTGAAAACAATTATTATTATTATTATTATTATTATTATTATTATTATTATACGTTTAATTGCATATTTGTAATTTTATATTTTTTTGTGAGTTAATATCCAAAATCGTCCTCGACTATAGTGGTTTTTCTCAATTTCGTCCTAAACGACTTTGGTGACCTAATATCGTCCCAGACTTTTGTGTTTCGCTCAATTTAGTCCTCCATTTGTTATTTCGTCAAATTGGTGTTAAATTAAGGGACAATTCAGTAATGTTAATATTGATCTCTCTTTACTTTCAACTTGTGAAGTGCAAAATTCCTTTTTCTTGTACGAATTACACCCAGATTTACTCCCGGACCTGCAAATCAAATTTTATATTCGCAGTTTTAGGAGTAATTCTGGAGTAATTCGTAAAAAAAGAAGGGATTTCGCAGTTCACATGTCTATGAGTAAAGAGATGCCAATATTAAAATTACTGAATTGTCTATTTATTTAACACCAAATGGACAGAATAACAAATGAGGGACTAAATTGAGCAAAAACACAAAAATCTGGGACTAAATTGAGCGAAACACAAAAGTCTGGGACGATATTAGGTCACCAAAGTCATTTAGGACGAAATTGAGAAAAACCACTATAGTTGAGAATGATTTTGGGTATTAACTCATTTTTTTGTTCACCTACATTCCTATTCAATTGGAGTGGATATTCATTTTGGATAAAACTTCATTTCAATTGAGTTGTACTTTCGTTTAAAATGAATTTGATGTTCATTTATTACTAAAATAACATGAATGTTAACGGAAAACAAACTCATAGAGTATATATTAACTATTAAGTAAAATATGTTCTTCTGTGATATCTCATAAATTTTATAAGAGAAGTAATCGCATTGAGAAGATTATGTGTGACAAACCCCAAGAGTCTAATGACTCTTAATAAAGATCATATGTTGCCTAGTTTCTTCCATGCAATCTCCGGCATAGGCCTCTCTAAATGTTGTTGGAGGTGCTTCAAATCCGCACCAAACTCGTAATCTTTTAATATAAAAAAATCTACCATTGATTATACCATAGCATTGTGTTGTATATGATACTATTGACAAGTACTAATAATATCTAATACAACAAAAGAATAGTATATATAATTATATCTAATATTATTCTATTATCCGCATGATACAAAATTCCTTAGTTTAATATTAGTGAGTAAAATTTAAAAATAAAAAATTATTTAAAAAGTAAATGGCGAGAAAAAAAGTTCGTTTCATCATCAAGTGTCAGCACTCCTGTGTGATTGTGACATTAGGTGTATAAAATATCAAATTAAATTTATATATAATTAACAAGCTTTACAAATCATACTTTTTAACAAATCATACTTTGTTATTGGCTAATATGCACAAGCCATCCCAAATAATATAATATGCCCTTAGTACAAGTGTATTTAAATCATAATACGAATTATTAAATAATATATTGTAGTGTGTACTGTGCCTATTTTAGCTTATAAGATAATAACAATAATTATAATTGCCTCAAAAGAGGCGAACAAGTGAATATAACATGATTCTTTGATTCTTTATTCTCAAAATGTTGAATTCTCAATTCCAAGAACTTCTACGCACCGACCCGACAGAACATCTGAGAAAATATAAATTATGATAACTTAGCTGAACACAAAGGTTAGACATTTGCTAACCGCGCACAAGGAACCCTCCTTACTTACTTACTGCGCACAAAGAGATTGCTCTCATACTGCAGTTGGTAAAGCCTCCATCCCAGGTCATTGTTCCTAAATTTTACCAGTGCAACCAACTGAGTTGTTCATGCGGGTAACATAATTCTTGTAGTTGAAAGTTACAAATTCATTTCTTGTTAAAATTTTCTCGATTAAACCTGAGACATAAACTCGAGTAATGACGTGTTACTCAAAATAATAAGAAAGAATAATAAATAAATAAATAAATAAAATGGTGGGGTGGGACACATTAATCATATCGAGAGCGTGACTGAACGAGACCTAGCTATTTTACCAGCCAGCGGGGACGGTGGGTACTGCACTCCTATCTCATCGTCTTATTTCCGTTTCTTCATTTCATTGCTTCTTCTCTCATCTTTCTTCTTTCTTCTTCTTCTTCTTCTCCTCCTTTTTCAGCTCAGATATACATACATACATACATACGCGCACAGAAACAAGAGAAATAATAATGGGGAATTGCCAGGCGGTGGACGCTGCAGCGCTGGTTATACAGCATCCCAGTGGTAGACTGGAAAGGATGTATTGGCCGGTGACGGCGAGTGAGGTGATGAAGCTTAACCCAGGCCACTACGTTTCTCTCATTATACCGCTGCCGATCGCCGCCGGCGAGGAGAATTCCGACGAGAGGGCGGTACGGTTTACCCGCGTCAAGCTTCTCCGCCCCACTGATACCTTAGTTCTGGGCAGAGCTTACCGGCTGGTCACCAATCAAGGTTGGTAGTATATATGCGCTTTACACTTTGTAATTAGAAGCTGTTTCACTTTCTCTAACCTTTCTTTCTTTGTTTTTCTTCTCTCTGCTTGTATGCAGAGGTGATGAAGGTTCTGAGAGCCAAAAAGAACGCGAAGATGAAGATGAAGAAGAAGGTTTGTGAGAATCTGCAGGGGGATTCAGAGAAACAGCAGGTTTTGGAAGATGGAAACTCAGAGCCTGAGAAGAACAATCAAGTGAGGCCAACAAGATTAAATCACAACAGATTATAGTTTCAAGACAAGAAATTTTCACTAATTCTATGATTCTATCGTTTTCAGGATACAAGATATCGGCAGAGATCTGGGCAGCCAATTGCAAGGACTAAATCATGGCGGCCATCGTTGCAGAGCATTTCAGAATCTGTGAGCTGATGAAGAACAAGAAATTAGTTCTGAATTTCTGATGCTGAATGCAACCGTGCAGCTCGAGATCCATCCGGGTGATGTTTGAGTAATAATACATCTGTATAGTTCAAAAACAAGAAATCATACCAGTTACTGGGTTCCACAGTTTTCCTGATTCTAGTTTGAGCAGAAAATCAGAAATGTACTTACAAAATGAAGATCAGTGTTGATAGTAAGTTGATGCATAAATGCAATCAAGAAGTGATCATTGCTATGTTGGATGTTTTGAGTTCCAAATTTCCCAGTCTTGATCAACATACTTTTGAGCCCATAATAGGGATGCCCGTGCAGCCAAGGATGCTCCGGGGAGTTTCCTTCCTTTGAGCGCAACAAACATATCAGTGAAAGGCTCAACTAATAATGTCCCCGGGCCTCCATATTCATCGCGCAAGAATTCGCTAAAAATCTGGATTCACAAAACAAGTTACTGAAATCAATCAATATGGTTTAATGTTTAAAGTGTGAATCAATCAGCAGCATTGAATTATTTTCAGAGATATTAACACCACACACACAAAAGGCCAAGTACAGCTTGATGAAGCTGTATCTTTGGTGCTGCTTTGTTTCTTTAGGAACGTCAGATAGCTCTCTACCTAAAGTCAATCATTGTACTATTTTATTGTCAGAATCGAGTCATATCACCGAGGAAAACAAACATGCTCATAATAGCGGATTCGATTTCCTACCACAAAAAAGGATCATGATTATGGAATTCATCCTAAAACTATAAATCTTACTTAAAATGATAGAACTTGAATTTAAGGTTGTTTAGGGCCTCATGTTTTTGTTCTACGTCATCCATCAGATCTTCATTTTCAAGTAACCAAACACTGTAACTCAATAATGCTTTGGAAGATGCTAACTGCCATTTCTCCTACCCAAGACGAGAATATGACTTAATGAATATGTCATGTATTACAGTGAGATAAAGAGACCACAAAATAAGATAGAGAATCGCCTTGTTCCTTCAAAATAATCAAGAACCATAAACCATAAGAACAGCTATAGAATTAACAGAACAGAGAACAGCATGGAAGAGTTAAGAGGGGATAAAAGACAATTTTGACAATTTTAAAAGTTAACAGAGCATTTAAGGGAAATTTTGTAAGAAATCTTGCAATGTGATGAGTGATGACAACAAATTACATAAAGAAAAAAAAAAAAAAGGTTTAGAGGATTCAAAGAATGAAATGTTATCTGCCTGCAGGAGAGGATAAAAGACAGTTTACTTCCTCTGAGATTAATTACTACTTAGTAATTAAAGGAAAATCAGTGTTTGGTGCCTATATAATAATCTAGAACACAGATTTCACTCATCACAGGCTGGTAATATCCTCTTCGAGCATTAACAGATGCACATTTATTCATAGCATAATTTGATAACCAATCTTAATTAAGCATGTTTTCTTATATTTAGTAAAAGGAATTCTAACAAATGAAAACCTGAAATGCATTACATACCCGACCTATGTAATGCTATTGGGGCTGAATGAGAGAATTCCAAGGGAAATGTCGAGATGCATATTTCTTTTCATAGAAGAGGCTGCTACATTACAGTTCACTTTGTAAAGAAATATCACTGCTATAGCTGATTATATTTTGCCCGAGTAAGTGCAATTAGGCCAACGCAGCTTTCAGGAACATGAGATTTTGTTTATAAATAAGAATTTTTTATTTTTAATCAATTTTGTCCAAATACTTTCATGGCTGATAAAATTGAAAGAATTTGACACTGGCATGTTAGAATGCATTTAGATACTCAGGAATAGCTGAATCAATGAAATACATCTCGATCCTCACGCAAGGTATTCAACCTTTAACTAGACATTTTGTCGAGCAACTCATGAACATGCAAGCATAAGATCAAGAGTCAAAACTTTCATCAGTTGTACAACTAGCATACTAATACGCATTCGTCAACATTTCAGAAACGAATACAATCCACAGGAAAGTTAAAAATTTAGATCAGCGGATCTTTACCTCTGCACAGACACTGACAACGGCATCAAGCTCGTTTCGAGAACTAAAAGTCTCATTCTCCTTAAACAGTCTATTGGATAGCTCCGCTTTGAACTTCTCCGTCTCCTTCATCATTCACAATATACAGAACAAATGCGAGTCAGTAACTGCAGTTCCGCACACACATAAACCATATGAATACAAAAACAGAGAGAGAGAGAGAGAGAGAGAGAGAGAGAGAGAGAGAGAGAGAGAGAAGTGGCAAACCGCAGCAGCGAATTCAGGGATTGGATCGGGATAAACGTATTTACGAGGAGGTGCAGCTCCGAGAGGTGTTGAGATGAAGCGCCTTGCAGCTGTGATGGACTGAGGGGTGCGTACGATAAGGCTTGGTGTGCGCAGGATAGGACGGCTCCGCCATGGGATTTTGGCGGGAAGCACAACCGTCACGGCGGTGAAGATGGAAGCAGCCTGAATCGCCATTATCGCGGCCAGACGGGTAAGAAGTCATGAATAAAAACTAGAAAATAAGCGGCCCAATTAGTTTGGGCTTCTATAAAAATTTATTTCCAAAATTTCATTTATGGGCCTAAGAGACATATCCGTAGTAGGCCCATAATTATTTTAGTTAGAATTTGGACTGTCCAATGTTGAGTTGTTAGGGACGTTATGCCATGGAACCGTGTTCACCATTCATGGTGAACACGGTTCCAACGGTGCAGACGTTATGCCATGGAACCGTGTTCACCATTCATGGTGAACACGGTTCTAACGGTGTTAGTACACCGTTATCTTTTTTTTTTTTTTTTTTTTTTTTTTTTTTTAATTAATTGCGTGACTTTTCTTCTTTATTTTCACATTTTGCGGTTTCACTTTAATTTGAGGTGAACAAAGATTTCGGACATTCATAAATTATGAATTCATACCTGCACATTCACTTTGGAACCATGCCTACACATTCCCGTCCGAAATCACGGATATTCATAAATTATGAATCCATGGCTGCACATTCACTTTGGAACCATGCCTACACATTCACTTTGGAACCATGAGATTATGAATTTTCTGTTATAAGATTATGAATTTTCTGTTATGAGATTATGAATTTTCAGTTATGAGATTATGAATTTTCAGTTATGAGATTATGAATTTTCTGTTATGCGATTATGAATTTTCTGTTATGAGATTATGAATTTTCATTACATTCATAATTTCGGACATTCATAAATTATGAATTCATGCCTGCACATTCACTTTGGAACTATGCCTACATATTCCCGTCCGAAATCACGGACATTCATAAATTATGAATCCATGCCTGCACATTCACTTTAGAACCATGCCTACACATTCACTTTGGAACCATGAGATTATGAATTTTCTGTTATAAGATTATGAATTTTCTGTTATGAGATTATGAATTTTCAGTTGTGAGATTATGAATTTTCTGTTATGCGATTATGAATTTTCTGTTATGAGATTATGAACTTTCATAAAATTCATAATCTCATAACAGAAAATTCATAATTTGATCAAACGCGCGCCGTTAACTCCACATTCGCGATTTTTTTTTTTTTTTTGGCCTAAAAATGACGTCGTTTTGCCTTTTGTTCACCATTCTCGGTGAACACGATTCCATGGCATAATTTGCGCCAACGGTGTTAGTACACCGTTATCTTCTTTTTTTTTTTCTTAATTAATTGCGTGACTTTTCTTCTTTATTTTCACATTTTGCGGTTTCACTTTAATTTGAGGTGAACAAAGATTTCGGACATTCATAAATTATGAATTCATGCCTGCACATTCACTTTGGAACCATGCCTACACATTCCCGTCCGAAATCACGGACATTCATAAATTATGAATCCATGCCTGCACATTCACTTTGGAACCATGCCTACACATTCACTTTGGAACCATGAGATTATGAATTTTCTGTTATAAGATTATGAATTTTCTGTTATGAGATTATGAATTTTCTGTTATGCAATTATGAATTTTCTGTTATGAGATTATGAATTTTCATTACATTCATAATTTCGGACATTCATAAATTATGAATTCATGCCTGCACATTCACTTTGGAACCATGCCTACATATTCCCGTCGCCTGCACATTCACTTTGGAATCATGCCTACATATTCCCGTCCGAAATCACGGACATTCATAAATTATGAATCCATGCCTGCACATTCACTTTGGAACCATGCCTACACATTCATTTTGGAACCATGAGATTATAAATTTCTGTTATAAGATTATGAATTTTCTGTTATGAAATTATGAATTTTCAGTTGTGAGATTATGAATTTTCTGTTATGCGATTATGAATTTTCTGTTATGCGATTATGAATTTTCTGTTATGCGATTATGAATTTTCTGTTATGCGATTATGAATTTTCTGTTATGCGATTATGAATTTTCTGTTATGAGATTATGAATTTTCATAAAATTCATAATCTCATAACAGAAAATTCATAATTTGATCAAACGCGCGCCGTTAACTCCACATCCGCGAATTTTTTTATTTATTTTTTGCCTATGTGTTCATCATTCTCGGTGAACACGATTCCATGGCATAATTTGCGGAGTTGTTATTCCATCAACCAATGTGGACCCTAGTCCTAAACGACGTATAAATTGTATATTTTTAGTATTCAAATTGTGTTTCTAAGTCAGAACACATAACAACGGTAGAAGGAAATTTCTGAATACAATATAGAATCATCAAATCCTAATATGTTATTATTGTCTTACTGCAATATTTGAAAGGAACTTATAAATACAAAACAAGGTAATCAATTACATATTTGTTAACATGGTATGTTCAAAGTATACAATTTTTAAATTTTTAAAAGATAAATTGTGAAAATTTAGACACGAATCTACCTTGCAAGGTGAACTCTGATCCACATAATAATTTGCAAATAAATAATATCGTACTGCTAATAATTGACGGATTTGGTCAACCTAGGGTATTAAAAATAAGTACACAATTAGGTTACGATAAAATATTGAATAGAAGTCCAATAATATGTGATTGTATATGGTTTGCTATATTATTTAGTGTTTAAGGAATATCTTACTACAATTTGCCTATAATAGATCTTTATATTGTACCTAACTTCGATTTTTGTCATTCATACCATTATTATAGGCTCCATGGTTTTGAGCCGTCTTGTTAATATATGCTAGATGGGGACTATTTGGGTTGGATTGGAGCCCAATATTTCATTTTAAAAAGGGTAATACTTCTACTTCTACTTAGATTAATTAATAGTCTAATCATCTTTAGTTCATTGCTATTTTTGAAATATAGTAATGATGATATATACGCAAACATTTTTACAAAAGTTAGAATGACACTTAAATTGATTTGTAACTTTTTACAATGTAAATAGAATGGGTAAATACTGAAAAACTTAGATCACGAGGTGTCCTGAGTAAGCTCTAACTGTAGAAGACATTTTTAAGCCCGTGTCATAATCAAACTAATCATCGTCCGTACTGGACCAGCACAATTAAGCGGCAAAGAAATCGTTATGCTATGGAACCATGTCCACCTTGATTCTATGTTCATAATTATAAAGCTATATATTCATAATTATTGAAATCTATATTTACAATTACAGAACGCTATGTTCATAATTACTGAACTATATGTTTATAATTATAAAGCTATATATTCATAATTTTTTAACTTCATATGCACAATTATTGAATTTCGATATTTATAATTATAGAATTATATGTCATAAGTATGTCCACAATTCTATGTTCATAATTATAGAACTATATGTTTATAATTTTTGAACTATATATTCATAATTATGAACATTTTTGGAATCGTATCCAACTTACAAGGTGGACATAGTTCCACAGCATAATTTGCCACGGGCAAAGTGCTGACCAGATTGGTATTTCCATACGAGAGGAAATTTGAACTCTCAATCCTTCCTAAGAGACAAGAGTGCACGGCCACTCACGCCAAACAAGCTGGTTAATTAAGATTATTCTTTATTCTCCCAAGATATTACATATTAGTAAGTTTAGTGGCACATTGCATTAAAGTTCCCTTTTTATGCTCTCATGTGGCAATCAATTAATAAATCAGACATTTCAATTAAGAGGAAAAAGTTATGTATGATGGAACATAAAAATTCCAATGAAACAAGCTGCAAAGATGCTCTTATTAGATCATCTTTAAAAGTTGTGAGAAAAGATGTGTCCTTTGAGACAATAAGAAATATAAAAATACCCAAAAGAATATAAAATAAAATCACAAGATCATTAGTTTATCACTCTTCATGTATGTCGTGTCTGCCATTATGTGATTGGATAAGTCCCATGTTCTTGTTTATTAGCATTTTTTTTTGAGTAAGGAAAGAAATTTACGGTCTCTATTTGAGGGTGTGCATTGAGTAAATTTTACTATTCTATAATAGCAGTAAATTGTAAAAGATATGCAAACTGTACTAGAAATATCATGTGTAACGAACTCTACTAAAAGGGTTCTTGAAACCCTTTTTAGACCTTGACTTTTTGCATTGATTGATTTAGGCTTTCTATAGTTAATTCATTGATTTATTATCATATGATTTACTCGTCTAAATTTTTCTTTGATCTTTCTTGGTGGTTAGAAATACTAACAAATATTTTTTTTGAATTTTCAAAGTGGTTAGCAAGTTAGTCGAACTCCATTTCTAACTACAAATATAATTTAGAGTTTTCATCCAAAATTTTCCAAAGACCTTTCTTGGTGGTCAAAAATAGTGACAAATATTTTTTTCCGAATCCTCAAATTGGTTGGCAAGTTAATTGGAAATTCAAATTCTAGGTTTCCGTCCAAATTTTTCAATGTCTCTTGGTGGTCAAAAATAGTGACATTTTTTTTTTTTTTTCAAAACCCTCAAAGTGGTAGGCAATTCAAGCTAGTTGGAAACTCAATATCTAACCTTAAATTCTAGGTTTTCGTTCAATATTTTCCAATAACCGTTCATAGTGTTCAGAAATAGTGACAAACATTTTTCTAAATCTTCAAAATGGTCAACAAGTTTGTCAAAAACTCGATTTCTAATGACAAATTTCTTAACAGTTTCTTCTAATTTTCAAATCAAAACTTTGATGAATCAAATCAGGCTAAATTCAACGCTCGCTATGAATTGTTCTTATAGTATACTCTTTATTCTTTTTTTTTTTTTTTTTTTTGAAAACATACTCTTTATAGTACACTCTCTATTCTTTAAAAGTCAATTATATACCCAAAACGTAAACATGAAAAAGCATATATTCCTAGATATCATGTATGTCGCACTTAAAAATGCTGTTTTTTTAATTGAGTCAGATCTTTGACATTCTCCAATGAAATCCTTCTTCTTTGTCTTTAATTACATGCCTTTTTCTTGATTATTAGTACTAATCAACAACGTAAGTACTGTTTTCCTTAATTAATGATGACAGTGTAAGTACTGCAGGAGAAGATAATAATAATGCTTTTGGCAACCC